GATTGCTGGTGTGACTTAGAGGAATCTGGAGCTTAATTGCCCTTTGGGGGGGAAAATGGTTCTGTTCAAAATGTGGGAAACCAGAAGAGAATGGGGAAGTTACAGGTGTTGAACCCAAGCCCTTAAAATTAAAAAAAAAAAGTCAAAGATAGTATAGAAAAATGTCAGGAGCCCACGCAGGCAATCATGGCGGCTGTGGGCCAGGAACACGCCAGCTTCTTGCATCCTCTGACTTGCAAATGAAACTCAACAGCCAGAGGACCGGACAGGGCTTTGTAGGAGAGACAGTTCAAAGAGCTGTCTTTTTCCATCAGTCAAGAACTCCAGTTAACGAAAGAAAGCCCTGTTTGCTGGCCTCTCTTTGGGAGCAAAGAGCTACAGTGCAGAAATTCATTAGCAAAACACCCACTGCCAGCTCCTCTCCCGCGGCTGGCCGTTGAATGCTTGGGTTCCCCAGGAGTTATGACACTGATCTTAAAATTGGCTTGTCCATACATATAGCTTATTGGCTTGTTGTCAAGAATATCACAGCACAAAAGTGCCCTGATGCACTTTTGATGATGGACACATTTGTACGTCTCACTTCCATTGGGTTTCTTTTGTCCATACTGGGTTTTTCCATTCTTACCATGGAGGTACTCATTGCTGCTGCTTAGGACTATTCCAGAGGCAGAGGCTTCAACTCTACTTTAGTGCAGCCTGAGAAGCTGGCATTGACCACTTGCAGGGCCCAGTCTGAATACAGAGGTCCCAGCTGCCACAGTGCTTGTTTCTAAACAGGCACTGAATGCCTCCAGCTCTTGGAAACTTTAAATGAACCCAATTTTCAAGTCGGTTTAGCCTGGCTGGATCACAGAATCTTTGGTCAGTTCTGGATTTTGCCCAATTCTGGGAGACTCAAAAAAAAAAAAAAAAAAGTGGCTCCAGGCATTTGACACTGAAGCTTCATGGTAATTCTCTGACTCTTAAGTGCCTGTCTAAGACATCTCCTGCAGGTCTTCCTTCCTGAGGGTGGGAGCAGAGCTTTTTTTGTTGCTGTTAACAGCATTCTTCACATACTGTATAATATATCATTCGAAGTGTGCAATTCAACACTCTTCAGTAAAACCACAGACTTGTACAATCCGTGTGTGAACATTGCATCATTCCCCCAACTCATTGCTTACAGCTGTCACTTGTCAATCTCCCCCTGCCCTCCTTGCACCCCAGCCCTTCTGCCTTTATCCACTGGACACTTTTGAACATTTGATACGATGTAAATCAATCAAACTGATGCCTGTTTGGATTTATCCATATTTCTCAGTCTGGCGTCTGTCCTTTTGTGACTGACAGAATATGCTATGGTATGAGAAGGATCTTCAGAAGACTTGTGGAAAATGCTAAAATTGTCATTTATTTCCATTTGTCATGAACTTTTTAAAGCCTCTGATAGATCAACCCATTCTTTCTTATAGAGAATTGTATGAATAATCCACGTTTTATTCTTCTGTTCATCCAGAGATGAACGTTTGAATTGCTTCTGCTTTCTGATTCTTACGAATAATGCTGGTATGGATGCCCATAGGATTTTTATATGGATATGCGCATCCTGTCTTCTTGACCATATACCTGAGAGTGGTCACAGGACAATGTCCATGGTTCTTTTAAAGGAACTGCCAGGCTGTCTCCCAGAGCACTGCACTGTTTTATGTTCCTCTCTGCAGTGTGTGAGGTTTCATTTTGGGCATCCTCATTTACCCTTGTTTTTATTCTACCTTCCTTATTCCCCGTATCATTGGGCATGCTTCTAAAATGTTCACAGCAGGGTAGACTTCAGAATCTAGCCTTTCCGTTGTAAAGTGGTCAGGTGTGCTGGCTGTTTCTTATTTGCCCCATCCAGATCCTGCTCTGACCTCCTGTGTATCCTGGGGTACCAATCTGCTGGCTTGTGTGTGCCCCGTGGCTTCCCAGCCTTTTTGCTTCCTTTTGGATTCAGCCAGTAAGAATCAAAAAAGGAGATGGGTTAATTTTTTTCTCCAGATTATGGCTGCATTAAAGGCCTTGGCATGTACCACATCAGGCAGTTATTTTTATTAATTTTTTTTGTGAGGAATGTCCACTTTATATTTTTTTCCTTTTTTTTTTTTTAATAATCTTACTTAGTTGATTAGGGCACAAAAGGTCAAGAGCTACAGGAAGGTGGGTAATACCATTGTTTCCACATTAATATAATTTTTTTCCCCTGAAACTAGGGTCAGGGGAGAAACAAAGGGAGAAGTCCCATCCAGCCTCCCACTGTTTTGTTTTTTTTTTAAAGTGTGTGCGTGTGTGTGTGTGTGTGTGTGTGTGTGTGTGTGTGTGTGTGTGTGTTATCTAAAAGGCAGATTTACAAGGGCAAAGGGGCAGGGAGAAAGCAAAGTATAGATCTTCTACCCATTGGTTCAGTCTCCTAACACTTGCAACTCTAACAGGGCCGGACTAAAGCCAGGAGCCAGGAATTCCATCCAGGTGTCCTGTGCAGGTGCCAGGGCCCTGAGTACCTGAGCTATTATCTCCTGCTTCCCAGGGCCTGTATTAGCAGGAAGCTGAGATGGAAGCAAAGGATCTGAGCCGGGAACCAAGTCCTCTGGCGTGGGATATGGGCATCTCATGGGACAGTTTAACTCATGGTGCCACCACACCTGCCCCCCCGCCCTGCCTCCCTGGATACAGCTCTCCTTTCTCACTTCACTCACAACTCCCTTCTTCCCTGCCTTTACTTCTATCTGTGGTAATAATGGTTACCCATTGTTGCTAGGCCTTTCTCAGACTGCCCAGCTGCCTTAAGTGTGCCATATAGCTGCTACCACCACCCTGGCTGATACAGGTAGCTGCCAGTGACTCCTCATCACTGTTCTCCCATTTGGTCTTCCTGCGCTGACTGAAGACAGCTTGCAGCAGAGTAGTGTGTGAGCATCAGCTGTTTGTGTCGTTACAGGCTTACATAAAACTGGGGGATTACCAGAAGGCTCTGGCAGATTGCGACTGGGCTCTGAGGGTAAGAGACAACTTCCTTTCCTACAAGATGGTGTTGCGCTTGCCGGGGCCAAATGTCTTAGTCCTGAAGTGAACTGAGAGAAGCTGTCAGGATGTCATGGTAGTCAAGGGCATCATTTGCCTCATGGACAAAATGGAATGAGTGCAGAATCATCGCTCAGGGTCATGACCATGCACAGAATATGCCCAGTGCATAGTGAGCTCTCTGGAGAAGCTACTATTACTGAGTTTTTGAGGGGTTATATTGTAATAGCTCCTCCTTTCCTGCTGTGTTACTGGCTGCCTGGATCCATGTAATAGCGTAAATGGCTTCTTCTCTCCATTAGAGCCAGCAGTGAGAGCTAATCCCTACAGTGTTACTGTCCTTTATTATCAGTCTGTGCCATTCTCGTCCCCACCCCAACCCCTACTACTTCGATAGACATAAAATCACAAGGCAGAATTCCTAATCAACCATAGTCAGTGCTGAGGCAGACAGCTTAACGCTGTGCATGGGATTTCCTGTAACATAATACCAACTTGGAGAATTGTGTAGATAATCACAGGTGCATGGAAATGTTAGAGTCTTTGAAAGAAATTTCACACTCATTTCTTACCAACGTTATTGCCAGTAACTTAAGTAACCTTTAATCCCCACATTGTCCTGTATTGCTGTCACAGTACTCTTTACCCAACCAAGACTAGCACATCTCGGACTTCTGATGTGCAGTGTTGCTCACATCAGAGAATGAGTCCCTCCAGGGTCTGGAAATGAAAAACACGAAGTGTCTTTCCTGGCCAGTGTTTTATCTTAAAAATCCTCGTGGATTTTTCATGGCATCCCGTAAATCTCACCTGCTTGTTCTAACAGAACAATGCTATCCTAAATAACTTCCATTCAAGTAAAACAGAGGTGTCAGAATAATATGCCTGCCAGGCTTATCCTGCAACTTTGATTCCCTGGTTCAAATCCCAGCCCACTGCGCATGGCCCAAGTCAAGGACTTCTGTTGATGGCAACCTAATGATCACGTTTGTTTGCTTATTTCATCCAAAGTGCATGAACAAGGGAGACAGGGATGAACTGGAAAGTCACCCTCACTTAGAATAGCTCAGAAAACACTAGAAATCTTCTAAACTGACATCTGCAATGTCTGAGTTTCTTGTCTCTTAGGAGAGACACGTGTAGCAAGTCTTGTCTCATTGCATCAGTGTGGTCTCTGATTTACAAGAATTGCCCAAAGCCACTGACAACTGACTCCACACAGCCCCAGCGGGGACCCCCTGGCTTGCTTAGTCACCGTGTGGAATCAGAATGGCTTTTTCTGCCGTCACTCTACGAGAGGAGAGAGAGACTGGCGTTTCCCCTTGGTGCTCCCTTGGTAACAGCAAAAGCCACCATTTACTATCCACTCATACTTTTCTACTCAGTTCAGTTCAGTGACATCCTTTGCCCTGTGATTTTGACAAGGAAGCCAGGCCTCAAAGATTAACTTGTGCTGGATCACAGAACTAGTATTGGTTTAACTGTAAGCCCAAGCTCTTAACCACGTACTATAAATGGCCTCTCCTCTGAAACCTTAAATCCCATAATCACCGAGTGTGGATCTAACTTGTCTGTTTCAAAAGCAACAGAATCTGCTCACAGGGCCTCCTGAAGATTCTTTTTCAGACCTGCAGTGGATTAAAAAAAAAAAAGCCAGGAAAGAAAGAAAAAATAGATGCATCTCTGATGTTGATTCTGAGAAGTACACTGGCCCAGTGCAGCTGATGTTAAAAAACACCGACAGCCAGCCTCCACCGAGGCTCTCTGTTGAAGAGGTTTGAGTAAACCTCTCAGAGGGATGGAAACAACACACGAGGACACACATGGAAGCTGTGAATTAAAAGTTTCACTGGGTCTTACAAGTCTTTAAAGTACCCAGCAAGGACAACCAGGAGCCCTGAGCGGTCTGCAGAAACAGAAGAATAATAAACTTTCTTCAGGACTAGGGAGGCGAGCTTTCTCTGGTCCTCGCCTAGCTCCGGCTCTGGGTCCCCACCCTCTCTCATGATGATCATTAGGATCACTCTAGAAACCCCTCAAAACAAACAAACAAACAAAAAAACCTAGAATGGATAGACAACAACAAGGAAAGCTTAGAATCAGACAGGAAATGGTCAGCGTGGATTCACTCATAGTGAGACACAAAGATTAGTTACGCCTCACTGGGGTATTCGGGATTTCTCTGCACACCCCTCCTTAAAAAAAATGTTCTATATCTAAACTGATGACATATGTCTTGCTAGAGTTATATGCCAGTTCAGACCATCCGAAAAACAACCAAGTTTGCAAAATCATGCTTCAACACTATAAACAGCTAAATACTAAAATGAAAATAGACACGAGACAGAATGAATAGTAATCTATAGCCATTTTGAGGTGTATAGAACCCTGTTGAATATAAACCAAAATTGAAATGTCTATGAAGAAGTCACAGGATGTAGTTAAAAACCTGCATTTTCCTATTAACATATTGGTTAATCAATACCATGTCAATTAATGCCATAATGTTGTAAATTGTTGTTGATGTGATGTTGGGGCTTTTAATGGATTGGGATGATACTTTGCCGGCTTTACCTTCAGACCAGAGATGGTCTCACCAAGAAATCGTTGAACTCACTAGGATAATAAGATGCTGGACTTTATGCTTGGTAAATACTTCCAATGAAAGAACCTCAACTGAATTTGAACTGTAGTAATGCAACAAGGTGGAGAAATCCACCATGGGGAGAGGGTTCAGGGAGGTGTGGGGGGAATCCCAGTGCCTATAACATTGTGTCACATAATGCAATACAACTAATAATAAAAAAAATAAAGCACCCAGCATGAATGTCACTGGCACACATTTATGTAACATTATTTACACTTTCATTCTATTTAAATGTTGCTGACACTTACGGGTGGCTGCAGACAAGTCTGCGTTTTAAAATTGTGAAGGTTGATATTTCTTGTCTAAGAAGATAAGGCAACAGGGCCAACCTCGATTAGGATCAGAATCATCTCTTTTCTGTCAGGACACTTACTGAACAAGGTAATCTGTCTTCCTTTAAAGGCAGGACTGCTTCAAAGAAGCTGTTACTTTATGCCATGATTTTACCAGGGTTCACCCACTGCTCTCTGCCCTTTTAATTTCTTTGCTTATGGGATGATTTGTTTGGGGTTGGCACCGTGGCACATTGAGTTAAGCTGCTGCTTGTGATGCTGGCATCCCTTATAGGCATGAGTTCGAGCCTCAGCTGCACCACTTTCTGATGCAGCTCCCTGCTGATGCACCTATGAAAGCAGCAGCAGATGGCCCAGATGCTTGGGGCCCTGTATCCCAGTGAAGTTCCTGGCTTTGTCTTGGTCCAATCCCAGCCATTATGGCATTTAAGAGTGAATCAGCAGAAGAAAGGTCTCCCTGTGTCTCTCCCTCTCTTGTAACATTCAAACAAATAAATAAATATTTTAAGAAAAGATGATCTACTTTTATTTGTTGATTTATATGAAATGGAGAGACATAGAGATAAATAGGCTTTCTGTCTGCTGATTCACTTTCCAAAGGCCTCAACAGCCAAGTTGGTGCCAGACACAAGCCAGGAGATCAGAGTTTCATCTGGATCTCCCAGGTACATGGGCCATCTTTTGATGCCTTCCCAGGTGCATCAGTAGGAAGCTGGATTGGAAAAGGAGTATCTGGGATGGGACCAGCACTCTGATATGGGTTGCTAGTGTGGCAACTAGCAGTTTAACCTCTGCTCCACAATCCCAGCCCATGCTTCATCTCTTAGAAGTCATGGTACTCCCCCAAATCTGTGGTTGTCTCTCCTGGGTTCAGCTTTCATCTCTGTAAATGGCTCACAAACCTGCTGACCCAGTCCCTCCTACCCCGATACCTTGGTGCCAGGGCTGCCTTGCAATCACTTCCTGCAGGTTTTCATTTGATTGGGCATCACCCAAAATTCAGGAAGCTGAGTCTCCATCTCCCCACTCACCTTCCCCTCTGCCTGCCCCAACCTCTGTGTCTTCCCAGCTTAGGCTTCACATCCTCCTTCATCCTATCATTGGTTAGTAGTCAGGGGTGGTCAGCTCCTCTTTCAACATGACTCTGCACTTGCTTCTGTCTCATTATCACCAGGACCTCAAACATCAACCCTCATTGCAAGTGAGGCTTTGGTCTCGTCATCTCCCTGCCTTTCGCTGCTCTGGTCACCTGTGCGTACACAGGTAGCCCGGCATCCAGCTCCTCCCTGTAGAGTCAGGTCAGGCTCACCTCTCGACCCCAAGTTCCCTCCACCTGGCACATGCTCTCAGTCCCAGAAAGTCAAGGCTGGACTGTCCTGGAAACTCCCAGTTCTCTTCCACCTCAGGACTTTGCCCAGCTGCTTCTGCCTCCATCCTCTTCTCTTTAATTCTTTAGTTCTCCACATGATTTCAGATCCAGCCCAAACTCCTTTTCTGCATGCACTGATTTGGATGACATCTACTTGGGGTAAATTTCTTTTTACTGAATACCAGCCTTTCTAGTATTTTGCTAGAGCATTTCTATATTTTGTAATGTATCACTTCTCTGAAGGAGATTGATTTTTTTAAAAACCCTCCATTTCTGGGGTTAAGTGACCAGATTTTAAACTCCATATCTTTCAGGTACTATCTGGGTGACCTTGCCCCTCTCTGCCTCCAGGTCCTTTCTCTGTACAATGGTGATTATAATTGCATCTATTCGTTGAGTGCTTGCAAGTCTTTCATGGGATCATTCAGCTGAACTTTCTGGCTCAGGGCTCACATGTGGCACAGACTGAACATCAACCATGATAATCATGGCTACTGCTGCCCTCTCATCGATGCACCTGTAAAACCTTCTCCAATGACCATTGTTCCCTCTTCTGTTATTACTCAGCTGTTTATAGGGTTTTTTTTGCTCTGAAAGGGATTGTTGTTGTAACTGCAGCAACAGCAAGTAGTAATGCATTACCTGGCACTTCAGCCCCCTACAACCACATGAGAGAGGCTGTTAGTTCCCTCACTCTCGGGCACCAGGGAAGTTCAGTGGCTTGGTCGGCATCCCACGGCTAATGATCAGCCCAGGGAGAATCCACCTGGGGTCATTGTAGACTCTAGAGCTCCAACTCCTAACCTCTGAATATCAAACCCCAAAGAGCATCTGACCCAGAATAATGCTTGCCTGTAAAGGAGTTTCAGTAAGTGTGAGCTAAGTGCATGTTTTAGATTTTAGTTTCTGTGTCTGTGCTAAACCATTCTCTGTGGGAGCTATCCTCACAGATGCATACAGGCATGGGGACATTCTCAGTCACAAGTTTCAGTTCTGTTGTTCTGAAGCAGGCAACCATCCTGATCTTAAATGACATGCAAGTTCCCAGTATGCTTGTTATGGTGTTGGGGTGTGTGTGTGTTGCCAGCAGGGCAAGGGAAGGGAGACTTTCCTATCCACCCATGAGATACAATGATGGTCTTATGTCTTTTCCCAGACTCAGTTCTTCCTTATAATAAACCAGTGGTTCTCCAAGGGACCTGCAGCTGCTTGTCACCTGGAAAGCTTGCTAAATTGTGTATGCCTTGGCTTCAGCCCAGAGGGTGCTCATTGGTGTGGGGTGCAGCCTGGGCTGGAGCTTTGTGAGTGTCCCAGGTGACTGTGATGTTTGACCAGTGTCAAAAGCTCTCCTCAACTGCAGGTCTCAAGTTTGCTTGCTAATGGAGGCCCATTAAAAGGAAATGAAAAAATGGCAGGTAGCATTAATTTGCTGGAGAGCTAACTTGAGTACCCAGGCTCCTTGCAGGCATCAATTAGTTTGGTTCACAGATATATGGAAAGGTTGGAATGGTGAGCCCTGATAGCCATTCTGAGAACCGCAGCTCTGAGTCAGCCAAGTGGTTAGAAAAGTGACTAATAGCTTCAAATACCTGAAATGTCTGATCAGTCATTATCTTTCATGCAGTGTGATGACAAATGCATAAAAGCATACTTCCTCATGGGAAAAGCCCACTTGGCTCTGAAGAACTACAGCACGGTAAGTTCTTAGCCAATCCCAGAACCATACCCCTCACTGTTCTGGAGGACAACCCCAGTCCCACTGACACGGAAACATTATTGCACCTTTTAGTGCTCTCCAAAGTGGAGTGTAAGATCCCGGAGTTAGGAAGGGTGTTAGGTGTCAACTACTCCAACCCTGCCGGCTGTGGGATCTCATCGGGAACATTCTCTGCTAGCGTAAAATCCTAAGCAAAAAGGGACAACAGAATTTTCTTGCAATCTCATCATCCAAAAGCAACCGTGCAGTCATGAAGAGGATGCAAAGAGTTTATGGATAATTCATATAATCTTTTAATTCCATTTTCACTAAACTTTTGCAGCCCCTTTATGTGCAAGGGTATAGAAAAAGTTTACACTGGCTATTATTCTGAAGGGAAAGTCTTTTGCAAACCATACATAGCTCTTTAATAACAGTTTTTTCCATGAGCTTTTTGAAGGCCACTTGCATGTGTACTTGTGTATACCTATGTGCATAGGAATGTATGCTTTTATGAGCTTATACACACCACAGTGCTAGATATCCATGTTAATGACAGCTTTCAACCAGAAGTCACAGGCTATCCAAACACAATTGTATACCTGTAGAAAGGATACAATTCAGTGGTTGTTAAATAGTCACAGAGTTGGACAACCATTACCACAATGTATTCTAGTGGTGATTTTTGTCATTTCCTTATAAAAGCTCTCATTGTCGCCTCAAAGATAAGTGTCACAACCACTTATCTTTCTGTCTCTACAGCTTTGCCTATACTGGACATGTCATACAAATGAAATTATGCAATTTATGGTCTGTCTTGATTGCTGTCTTTCATTTAACATGTGCATAGTGCAGCCATGAAGTATTATATATGTTTCTCATTCCTTAAGTTCACCGTTGGTAGACACCTGTGTCCTTTTCAGCATTGACTACACTCCTGTTTACTGTCCTCTAGGCTATACAGGTAGGCTAGAATAGCTAAACCATGTGGTAACTCTATTTAATCTTTTGAGATTTATGCCTTCATTTACTTGTGGTTCTCTCTGTGGTATTGGATCTCTGACCCATTGTGAGTTAATTTTTGTTTGTGATATGAAATAGGGGTTTAGCTTTTTTATGCTGCATGTGGACACCAGCTTACTGTATGTTGAAGTGACTATTCTTTTTCTGGTAAAGAAGATTGGCACCTTGTCAAAACTCAGTTGACTATAAATATAAGAGTTTATTTTGAACTTTCCATTTTATTAATCCACATAGCTGTCCTCATGCCAATACCATAACGTTTTGATTTTTTGCAGCTTTGAGATGATTTTTAAAACAGTACTGTGAGTCTTCCAACTTTTCTCCTCCTCTTTTTGAAGATTATTTTAGGTGTTCTGGTTCTCTTGAATTTCCATATAAATTCCAGGAACATCTTGTCTGGTTCTGCAGTGAAGCCGGATGGAAGTTTGATGGGTTAAGCATAGAAGTATAGGCCAGTCTGGAAAGCATTGTCATTGGAACACCATGAAGTCTTCCACTCCATGACCACGACGTGTCTTTCCATCTTTCAGAACAATTACCTCACAGTGTACATTTTTGAAAGCTAACATTCTATTTTAATTATAAAGGTAATATAGTCTTATTGTCATGAAATCAGGTAAAAGATATGAATAAAGAAAATTTTAATTTCTGCCCTCTCTGACAAATTGTATTTGTTCACTCAATTAATTCATTTAGCAGATGTTTGTTTCATGCTATATGTGTTAGCCACTGTCACTACAGTGGCTGTAAGAGTGCAGCAGTGAACAAAACCAAATCCGTGACTTCATGGAACTCGCATTCACAGCTGGGAGACAAACAGCAAGTGTGAGTGTGCTAGGTCCTGATGAGTGTTACAGAGAAAAGGACAGGAAGTGGCGAAAGAGAGCTTGTTTTTACAAAGGATATTTAGGTAAAGCCCCTCTAACGGAAAGGAGAGGGGAGCGACTTGAACAAACCATGTGGGTGTAAAAGTAGAGCATCCGAGGTACAGGGCTGGCTGGGATGAAGAAAGCAGGAGAGAGAAGCTGTGGAGGTGGAAAGGCTGCTCCCATAGGGCCCAGCCAGCCTTGGGGAGGACCTTGGCTTTCACTTTGATGATCTGAGAGCCCTTGGAGGATTGTGAGCAGGGAATTATCATGATGTGACTCTGAGAGGATTGTTCCGACTGCTACGTTGATACTATATTGCGGCATGCCAAGACTAGAGCAGAGAGCAAGTCAGTAGACTGTTGGGATAAATTCCCAAGCCTGGGGTGACAATGGCTTGGACCAGCTTCCAGACGATGGAGATGTTAAGTGATGGTATTCTGAGTATATACTGACATGAAGCCAATAGACATTGCTGATAGTTAGACCTGGCCCTAAAAAAAGTGCATCCATCATCACTTTGTTTACCTTACTTAATGTGTAAACACTTATCCTGTGTATCTTTTTTTTAGCGTATTTTTGGTTCAGTTTATGTCTTAATTCTAAACTTCTAACCAAGGCTTAAACTTTGAAGCTATCTCATAGTTGTTTCAATTTTGTTTTGAGCCTTTGTTTTCCATGAGTGCTTGAACTACATTCTAGGCATCTCTTCTGTCCCTAGGGGTTATATGATTCTGGCCCGGGAGTTCCTACGGACTAGCATCTTTCCTCCTTGCCAGTTCTCTTTGCAGCCCATGAGTTTTACTCAGTGGTTCTGTCCCTAGCTTTGCTTTTTGTCCCAGCTCTTCAACGGCAAATCTGACAGCCCCTGTGTTCTCTTTCTCAGCTAATATCCGGTCTTCAGTTTTCATTGACCTTCTGATCATTCGTGACCCAGACAGACATGATCCACATACAATTAGGCCTGGCTATTTTTCAGCACTGGTGGCTACCCCTGACTGCACTATTTTTTAAGAACGGGTTTCAAAATAATACCTGTTGCCTCACAGAACCAAAGCAGTCTAAATAAAATGTCAGATGTACTCCACACACGCCAAACCTACTGCAGGAGGAGTAGCCAAGGAGCAAATAATGAAGAAGTCGTTGAGCCCCATGATGCCCAGTGTCCCATAGTCCCTGTCACCTCCTAACCACTGCTCAAGCCTCATTGCTTTTCTTGCAGTCTAGAGAATGCTACCAGAAGATCTTAGAAATAAACTCCAAGCTGCAGACACAGGTTAAAGGTGAGTATTCCTGCTGCTGTCCTTCCTTTGAATGGCATTTCTCTTTGGGCTGCTTCCTTAAGATGCCTTCTGTCACTTTTCTGCCACTGGCCTTGATGACACAGCCCAGTCTGCTTGTTTGCCGCTTGCTCAGCTCCTCTGCCCTTCTCCTCCCATTCAAATCTGGGCCTCCCTCCCTCCTTTCCTGTGTGGCCCTCCTGCAGCACCTTGTAGACACCTGTGCCCTGAATCCATGTGACGGTTTAAGACTCTGGGTATGGACTGTACCCTACTCTAAAATTGTTTTGATTCTTTGTCCTGCTCAACCTTCTATCCTCAGAAGAAAGAGACAGAAACAAACAAACAAAAATGATTGTTTCTTGTGTGGTGTTGCTGGTTTGTTATTGTTTGGTTTTCCTTTCTTCTTTTCTTTCTTGTTGTTTTGCCAGGATACCTACACCAAGTGGATCTTCGGGAAAAGGCAGACCTTCAGGAGAAGGAAGCCCATGAACACCTTGACTCAGGAAGAAACACAGCCGTGTCCACCAAGAACCTCCTGGTGACCCTATCCAAGCCTGGCCAGACGCCTCTGTTCTATGCTGGGGGGATTGAGATCCTGACTGAGATGATGCAAGGCTGTAAGCCTAACATGTGTGAATGGACTCAGGAGTGTTGTCAGTGTCAGGGCACGGTCCCTCTTGTCCTTCCATAACTATGGAATGAAAATCCACTCCTGCAGATGCTAACGGGGTGTGTGAGAAACACACCCTGCTCAGTCCTCTCCTCAGAGCATGCACCTGCTCAGCACACATGCAATAAACGCCAGCACGCAACACAACATGAAACGCACACACGGTATATATAGACTTGTATTTCCTGTACCACAGCACACACCCAGCAATTTCCTCATTTGACTAATTTCACACACACACACACACCACTTTCCCACTCACAGTGCACACAGACCATTTATGCTTTCTCAACATCCAGATCTTACGTGTTCAACCTTGACGTGTGTGCCACAGACCCCACATAAACACACCTCCAGTCCCCTGCCCTTGACTTTCCCCATTATTCGAACACCTCCTCCACCCTCTGTCCCAACAGAGAAACGGAAGGCAGAATTGTGTAGGCTGAGTGGTAAGGTTTGCCCTAATTACACTTCACGGCCACTGAGGACCTGTAAACAGTTACAGAGCGCTAGTCCTCTCTCTTTCTGCTAATACGAATCGCCCTTTTAGCAGTGCTAGTTAACATGGAAGGCCTGGACTTTAATATTCACTGTTACTCCAACGAATGCTGCTCGTACAGCTGGATGGAGTCTCACATTCCCCTTTAGCTTGCCCAAAGCGCACTGCCAACGGCCCTTCTGCGGGTTTTGGAGATGATGGGCTCCTCTCTGGAACCTGGAAACAAGCTTCAAAATAGATCTGTAGAAATGCAATGTGTCGGTGCTTTTCAGAGGTGAAGCAGTGAAGGCTCACTAAGACTACCAAGTGATGGTTGTGTGGGTCGCCCGGATGGCCACCTGGCTCCACTCGCCTCTAAACAGCCCCTCTGTTGGCAGCACTGAGAGGCCGACCACAATTCTGTCTTTCAGAACACAAACATGTTTGTTTCTTCCAGATTGCTATGTTGGTGACCTTGCCATTCCATGCTGGATTTCTCATTGCCCTCCAGCTTGGCAGCAGCCAGGCACCAGCCAGGCTGTGCAGGAGGCTGATGTGGTTTTCTGTGGATTTCTTTCAGGCACAGAACAAACGTTATTCAGAACCCACAATGGATTCAGTGTCATCAGTGACAACGAGGTCCTAAGAAGGTAGGAGAGTATTTGTGAAGACAACCTGAGACATCAAAGCAGGGAAAGGAAATAATTATTTAAAAACATATGTATGGGGCCCAGCATAGTAGCCCAGTGGCCAAAATCCTCACCTTGCACATGCCAGGATTCCATATGAGTGCTGGTTTATTTGTTGATGGCCCAGTTCCCATACGACTCCCTGCTTACTGCCTGGGAAAGCAGTGGAAGATGGCCCAAAACCTTGGGCCCCTGCACCAGGAGGAAGTTCCCGGCTCCTGGCTTCAGATTAGCTCAGCTCTGGCCATTGTGGCCATTTGGGGAGTGACTCAGTGGACAGAAGATCTTCTTATCTATCTTTCCTCTTTGTATATCTGACTTTCCAATAAAAATAAATCACACACACACACACACACACACACACACACACACACACATATACACACACACGTACATATATATGCTTAAGGGTCCTATATTTTATAGATATAGGGCCAAGTTACAGGAAGAGAGAGATGGAGATACATTCCATCCATTGGTTCATTCCCTAAATAGCCACATCAGCCAGGACTGGGTGTGGCCCTAGCCAGGAGCTTCTTTCAGGTTTTTTCGTGGGTGTCAGGGCCCAAGCACTTGGGCCATCCTCTGCTACTTTCTCAGGTGCATTAGCAGAGAGCTGGAGTGGAAACAGAGCAGCCATCCCAACTGGCATCCACATGGGATGACGACATTACAGGTGGTGGCTTAACCCACTATGCCATAAACACCAGCTCCAGAAAACCATTTTTGTCTGGAATCGGACATCGACATCTTTGGCAACAACACTACCATGTCCCCGCCCTTCAATCCGTAATCCCGGTCCCTCCGGGAGCAGATGGCTGCTTCCGGGGCACTCTGGAGCCTCAAGGCTCACCACTGGCCATTGGCAAGGGAAGAGCCACATTTCCTAAGGCCCTCCTGGGCCCTGCACAGTCAGAGAATAACCACTGCTGCTGGTTTCTCCCAAACACTGCTGTCTGTTATCCTCCTTTTGTGAATGCATTCATCCCATCAGGAAGTGACAGCAGCTGGGCCATGGCCAAGCCCTCTGTGATTTCATCTGAGGAAAGTCCCACATGATAGGAGGTTTACTAGATTTGTTTTCATTTTGTTTTGTATTTCAATTGTCATGGAGTGATTCCAGAAGCTGCTGTGGACAGGAGTCTCCAGCATGCATTGGTGTGCTCTGTAGCAAGCAGTCAGTCCCAGGGCTCTTGACTGCACAGCTCCGTGCGGCTCTGACCTCCACAGCGTGCATCCTTGACCTAGAGCTCTGAGCTCAGTGACTGGCTGTGCATTGATGCCAGCGACCTGTAGCACTGCACTTGTGAAATTGCTGTCTGAGATCCAAATCCAGCAAGTCCAGGAGACAGATATGGCAACAGCAGCCAAAATTCCACGGGCTTTCCTGACTTCATCTCACTGTACCTTGTCTGTTCCCAGGTGCTTTTTCGTGGCAGAAAAGGATGCAATTGAAGAAACAGCCTGTGTGTCTGTTCTAAAGCTCTGGCAAGCAGTGTGCAGTGGAAATGGTGAGCCCAGGGGACCAGCCGTTAATCACTGAAATGTACTGTCGCCGTGGACTTCCACGGTCAGGCCCTATGTTTCCTGCAGGTCAGGCTTGGACTATCACACACATGCACCTGACCCTTGGGAAAAGCACACAGATCAAAAGCCAGGCTGGTGTTGCAGGGATGCCTCCAGCAGCCTCATGGCTACCTCCTCTGCCCATCGTTGGAGGTGATAAAGAGCTGCCCTGGGGTGGTGGTCAAGGTCACTGTAATAAGTGGTCTCCTCACCTGAGCTCTCTCCCTTACGCTCTTCCTGTTGTTCCCTTTTGCTGACCACAGAACATATTTTAGCATCATGAGACTTAACGATGGTCACTGCCAGCATCTTCAGACACTGATTAGCATCTAATACTGAGACAGAAAAAGTACTAAAGGGAATTTATTTACCATAGTAACACTGCTGTTCTTTTCTATTCAGCATCTCCTGGTGTTTATTAGGTCCTTGGTGCAGTCTTTGTCATTCACTTTTGTGACTTCTGTCTAAATATACTTTTTAAAAAATATTTCCCTCTTAATCAGGGAAGTGGTTTGATCTCAGATGCCAATACTGAAAATGAGACTGTTGGCAGCTGTTGCAGGGCCACTGTGGGGAGTCAGGGTGGGGGTTTGGGGGTGTGGTTTGCATACTGTGAAATGCCAACTATAAAGCACCATGATGGTTTATCATGATTCAGTAGAATATAGAAGTCAGCAAGTTAAGAAAACAAGCCTAGAAAGATAAACAGTCAGGTACCTGTTTCCTGAAGGGAATGCTACCAAGACCAGCCATTGGAGTGAGGACCCCTGTGCAGCTCAGGCCTGGGGGTTGCAAATAGCACTATGGGAGGCAAGGCAGGCAGGGCTTGGTGGCTTCAATGTAGCAACGCATTTATTTTGGCTTTGGGGAGTCATTCTTATTTTTTTGACATCTGAAAAATATCAGCATATATGGCCTGTATTATAAATACTCTATCTCAGAATAATGAAACCCTGCTTTCTGGCTCCATAAACACCAAGCCATTTTTAAAAAGCACAAGGGAGTGCTTGGAGGCAAGAGCGGGCAGACAAACCAATGATATGTTGTTGAGTGGGGAAGAGAAGTAGTTACAGGGCAGGATGGGCAACTGTGTTCCTGTGATTCATTGCGGGACTGAGCACCAGTACCTCTAGGGAGTTGGCGCTAATCTACCAGTGCCAATTGAGAGGAAGGCTTCTGTTTGCAGCTTCATCTAGCTTCCATGTCCTCTGTGCTATTTGTAATAATCAACTCCTCCAATAATAAAAAAAAAGACACACTAGGCAAGTCAACAAAGATCTTTGCATGTTGACAATCACTGGCCTCTATTCTGCACGGATACGGTTGTAGCTCTAAGACTGAGCTACAACATTTTCAATTAAAAGCATGGTTTCATATGTTGGCTTCAAGTCAGATTCCACTGCCTCAGCTCTTTCTGGACTAGAAGAACCCTAATGTGTGTTTTTGATCATTGAGTCTTTTGTGTAAACCGACAACTGGCACCAGGGCAGGGCCCAGCATAACAAAGCCGCAGGTGATGGGTCCCATCCCTTAGAGATCCTCTCTGCTCAGAGCTAGACCCGTTCTCCAGCCTGTGTCCCTGCCTGCTTTCCAACCCACACATGTGGCTGGTCAGAAAATGAAGCATGTGAAAATCTCATGATCTAGGAGAGCACATGTTCTCTTGGGACACAGTAGGTTCTGAGACAGAATTCAGTTGTGACTTTGACCATTTGATGATGATGACAGATGATGTAAAAAATGTCCCACAATTAAGATGTTCGCTTTCTCTTTGATCCTGTACCAGATCCCAAACACCAAGTACTCTTTTGTACCTTAAAGACATAGCTCATTTACACCTATGAATCATTTAGTCTTCCTAACCACTTTCTTAGGTAGGTCATCGTGCCCTTTCTACTGATGAGGAGACTGAGGGCCCATGCATTATTAACTAGCAAAGACTGCTTTCTCACTCCCACAGACCCACAGACCCACAGCCTGGCTAGAGAACCATTGTCCTGCCTCTTGAGAGAATGGGGAGAGTGGGGCTCACCATCAAGACAACGGAGACACATCCGAGTTCACTGCCGCTATATCCTATGTGTGTCAGACAACCCCTGTGTTTTGCAGAAGAAAATCAACGTCTGCTTGTGTCACGCCAAGAGTGGGCCAGGCTGCTGCCCTCCTTCCTGGCCTCCAGAATCCTGGTCATCCGACAGCAGAGCCTGGCCCTGCTGCTACAGATCGCACAGACGGGGAATGGACGGGACCTCATTATCTCCCACCTCGACCTGACCCAGTGAGTCTCAGCCAGAGCTCTCCTCCTTGCAGCAGCTTCTCAGGTCGGCTCCATCTGAGTTCCGGCCTGCTTGCGTCCACTTGGTGGGCTGCCATCAGACTGAAGGTGGATCCATAGCAAAGTGAGCCATGGAAGGGTGCACTGCATCCTCAGGAGCCTGTGGTCTAGCCCCCTCCTGATCTTGGTACCTTGGACAGTTCTACCACACAAGCCCTGTAGACTATGGGGTCCACAGCGCACTGCCACAGGCAGCGTTGGCACCCGCCACTAAGTAGGCCCCCTTGCTCTGCCTTTCAACCTCACTGCTGGCTCTGATGTTCCTACCTTATTTTCCTTTTTTTTTCCTTTTTTTCCTTTTTAGTTTAAAACAATACTTTGTTATTTTTGCATATCCTTAAAGCCTTTCTGGATAAATAAGCAAAACATCTCTAGGGCTGTGGTGTGGAGAACTGCTCCACCAAGTAGATGCCCTGAAAAGTTACCCAAACTGTGGTGATCCTGCTCAGTGCTTTTTTTTTTTTTTGGTCAATTTAAACAAAATTTTTTCTTAATTAGTTTATATATCCCTTTTACATATTTTTTCAGTTTGTCTTCCAATTATTAGTTTTAACAGGTCCAACTGCCATCTTTCTATCAGAAGGATTGCATGTCAGTTGCTTCACATGGTTCAACCTGACAGAAGCAGCAGCAGTCCTCCTAGGCCATTTTGTAAATGTTTTTTACGTTATGTAAAACTAGAAGTTAGCTTTCTGAGTTTTCTACTGTTACCTCGTTTTACGTCTCCTCATCCCAAGAGGCATGCATTGTGGTAGACATTATGAGTCCATTTCACAGATGGGGCAGTAGAAGCTGCAACAAGCAACCGAGGGAATCTCCCCCAGCTGTCTCCCAGGGCCCTGTTGCTTAGAACCGAAGCTCCCACTCCCTGCTCCCCACAAGAAGAGTTGCTGAATCTTCAGCCCTGTCAGCTCTTTCTTGCGCCATGCTGAGCTCTCCTGCCCCTTGCCCTTTGATGAGGAGGGCCTGTGTCTGTTAAGCGTACACTAGCTGCTTTAAGCCTGAGCTGTGGCTCTGTGCCCTCTTCACCTCTACCCCGTGGCTCTCAGCAGAGACCTTGGCACACCCTTGCCATGCAGTGCACATGCCAGATGGGTTGTTAGTGGAACTAAATTCTCCAAAAACACATTTCACATTGGAAATGACTTTGCAAGTCATTTCCTCAGTACCTTCGTAGTATGTTTGCCTTTATTTGATTTTTGTCCCTTTGAGTAAATGAAGGTATGATTATTATAAGTTTTTTTCCCCAAAGCTATCTTTGAATTGCTTGAGTTTCAATTTAAATTTCCTAGTGTCTTGGAGAATGACATTTATGGACACCTCACTACCCTGTAAACAGCCAAGAAAGACTCTGCTGATTGCTTTTATGCCCGGTTGTCTTGGCTAATGTCTGTCTTCAGTTACACTGTGAGGAGACGGAATGGATTCTCTTGGATGAGACGAAGTGTTGGAGGCACACAGTCCCATGTCTCCCATTACACATATATCATGTTCCTCTCAAAATGTTTGTCCTCCTGGGGGAGGTTGGAGGAATGACTGGGCTAGGGAGGGATGGCACATAGCCAGTGTCGCCTTATAGAAAACAGCGAGTGTTTAAGTCAAAACAGTCCTAATCCAAATTCCCCACATGTCTCCTTTTACTTATTTGTCTCAGCAAAGTCATTCAGCCTGAATGGGACCCAGGATCCTATCTGCATTGCAGACTTGTGATGGGTGAGGGGTGTCAGGGGTGTGGAGGGGTGATGGCAACTATGTCAGATTGAAAAAATGCTCTGTTGCATCATGCACAACACTTGATCAAAAGCGTGTGACTCAGAGCCTGACTTGTCAAAGCCAGGTCTGTGCTCTTGACCTTCCCTATATGTGACCCCCAAGTCTCCCATCCTCCTTGGAGACATGTTGGCAACAGCTGCATCTGTCCTTTTTGTAAAGAAATGCTGCTGTTTCTATCTCCTTGGCCAGAATTGCTTATTCTGCCAACCCTGGGGCACGGGGTGGTGGCAGCTTCCATGATAGGACCTGGTGCTGTAGAAAGAGGAGTGGGAATGTTAGTAGGGTTGGTCTGCAAAAAACATGGGCTTCAGTAGGGGGAAAACAAACCAGTACCATACCGGATACATGGTATGGACAGGTGATGTTTTGTAGTCCTTTTCTCTTGGCAGGACATGATATTCAAGGCCTTCAGCTGAAGTGACAGTGAAGTTGCTGGTCAGATAGGACCCTTTTGTAGGATCCAAGGCACACATGGTGTCTCCTTGAGGTGACGAGCCCAGAAAGAGTGTGTGCTGTGTGTCACAGGCTGAGGGAGCTTCAAAACCATGTACCATTATCTCACCTACCATGCTGTTTCTGTTCATTGGCATTTGTCCTTGAGCAAAAAAAAGCAATAGATTTAAACTGGCAAGGGAGGAATCTGTTTGTAGAGCAAACTGGCTCTGCCAACAATAGCACAGAGGAAGCCCCCGAGGTTGACAGGCATTTGCAAGGGCTTGAAACTACCCAGACCTCACAGACAATGTGGGCCAGGGAAGGAGCCAGTGTTTTCATGACATTTGCCATCTATTGGATTTAGGACGAGCAATAAGAGAACTGATAAGCCCGGGGTCTTTCTCCATCCCCTTTCAGAGCCTTCGCTGAACCCATACTGCCTGCCTCATGCCATCTGGAGCAATTCTGCCTCCCTAGACAGAGACCAGGTCCAGGCTACTGCAAGCAGAAACGATGCACTAGGTCTCCCCACTTTTCAGTGTGTTAGCTCAGAAGACAGCCATCTTTCCAGAACCTTCCCAGCTAAATAGATGTCATTCACTTGGGGTGGCTGGTTCAAGGCTGTCCTCCCAGATGTCCAAGCCCACAGTCTCTTTCTCTGCTTGTTTTCCACCATGTGACTGTCCTGTGCTGTTCGGGGCCACTGTTCTCTGCTCTTGAAACCATAGCCACAGCTATGAGGACATCTTCCTTCCAGCCCTCCTCCCTCCAGGCTTGCCCTTCTTGGTATCCTCCCATGCCCACTGTGTGCTGTCACCCTTCCAAATTGGGAACCCTGGGGTCCCACACTTGCCATCTCTTCCTCTGTCTGCATTCAGTAGGAATACCCTTTCGCCACTGCATCTGTCCTTCTGTGTCCGCAAGCTTCAAAAGCCTCATGCAGGAAGCCATGGCTCCTCACAACAGACTGCCTGAGCTGCTGGTCTTTTCAGGGGCTGTCCTCTCTCCCCCACCTAAACCACAGGCTGGGAAGTGACCATGCCCACACTTTAATGCCTTGCTGGTCCCCACTCCTTGGCACTGCCCAACTTCTACTTCCACCATCACCCTCTCTCAATTCTCCTCTGCTATCTGATCCCTGCTCCAAGGTCCCAGGGAGTGCCTTTTGTCAACTGCTGGCTTGGCTCAGCCCTTTGACCTTCCTTGACTGGACAGTCACAGCTCTCCCCTGGTGGGATTCCCTGCCTCCTACCCTCCCAGGTCCCAGCCAGCCATGTCATGGCAGCATGTCATGGCACCTGCAAACGCATAGCACTGTTGAAGACCTGGAGTGTAGCACTCTAAACACTGTTGATGGGCTTGCAGGTGAACAGACTCCTCTTCCCTCCACCATCCTGGTGCCACAAGCATTTCAGGACAGGTGGTATTAGCAATTTTCAGCAGCCACAGCAGACCTGAGCAGCATGCACAGACTGTGTTTGCCATTAACTAAAGATCCTTAAAAAGCTTGTTCACGTAGACCAGTCTTTGAACCAGCTCTCCCAAGTGTGTTACACATAGGATCTTCAGCTGTACATGGAAATCTTGGTGTTGAAGCCCATTCAGTGTCATCTGATATATTTGTCAGCCTGCCCAAATCTTGCTAAATCTTTATTCCATCACCCATCTTATGACTGCCTCGCCCCAACACTGCCCTGCTGCTGTAGTCAGTAGTAGGTAGGTAAACATGCTAGATAGATGTCATCTATGTTATTGAACTTAACTGAGCCAGAGTCACATGGCAGAGCACCAGAGACTCTTACCAAGCTGGTGTTTGGTTTGATCAATAAGCTTTGGGTAAGAGTGTCTAGTCCCCTGGGAGTTCCATTAAGGGTTGGAGCCAGATCCCAGGAAGTGTCTGTCCTCTCTGGTTAGCAAGGAGCTAGAGCTGGGTTTTCATGGAGGGTATGGCTAGGCCCTCCATGCAACCTGCCTCACATAGATACCCACCCTCTCCCAGATTCCTTGCATGGTCCCCCAGTTGGGGATGCTTCCTGGACAGGGCAAACCCCTCTGAGGTTGTTATTGGTCTTTGCAGGTTATTGGAAGCCCTGGTATCATTTCTGGATTTCCCAGATAAGAAAGCCACCAATGCTACCAGACTGCTTACAGAACTGGCCCTAGAGGACAGGTAATTATTTTTTTCTAGGGATTGCCTCTTCCCCCTCAACCTTGAAACAGGTGCAGTGTATGGCATTGTGAGTAAATACCTCTTTCTGCCCCATTATGTCTTAAGTGTATGTGCTGGGAAAGAGACTTAAAGGTCTTCCTTTTCTATAATAATTGAGATTTTTTTTTAAACCACACTTTTAAAAAGAGTATCCTGTTTGGAACTGATCAGACACAAGAGAGAGCCACTGTGCTCACTGACAGGCAGGTGCCCACCTGAGCTGGGATAATGAGGCAGCTGTAGGGGCATGCTGAGTCATGTGTACAGCCAGGCCTGCATGTGTGTCTGTAACAAGGACAAAGCTTGCCTTAGTGTCCTTGCACACACATGGTGTGGCAAGGGAAGGTGTTGGAGTGAGCACTATCACAACCTGGGGATTCTAGCAACTTTAGCTTGGAAGAGCTGTCTCTTCCGATCTACTTAACATCAAGGGACAGCTCTGCCAGTGACATTTGTTTGCGTTCCCAGTGAACTAGCCTCATAGAATGGCCCACAGGCCCAGAGTTTGTGATTGACACACACCCAAGATGCTGCCTTCACACCACAGGTGTGCTCTGTTGAAGTAAATCCCTGCTATTGTTTTCTCTGCAGACTCCAAGGCTGGTTGCGGGTCAACCTTCCAGGGGTCCTGCCTGCACTCACAAGCATCCTGGTGAGCAAAGCCCCCACATGTCCTCCTGTGACAGCCTCCTGTTTCAGGGTTACTTACCCCTCCAAATTCTCCCTGTCTTGGGAGCTGATTGATCACTTACTCATAGCCAGAAGTTACAGTTTCTACAGCAACCAGGATTGTGACAGGTACAAGTGGCATCTGGCCAGGGCTGGCTGAGCGGGTCAGAAAGCTGGATGCAGACAGCCTCTCAGGTGAAGGTAGAGGGAGCCTGCCCATCCCCATTGGTTCTCTGTCCACTCCTAAGTCTTATCCACCCTGAGCATAAGTCATCTGTGCCAGGAGGACAGGTGTAGCAATTTGAGCAGATGAGGCAAGTAGGAGGGGCTTCTCCTTGGGGTGCCTACTGTCCCCTCATGAGCCACAGACATATCAGAGGCCCTCACAGGGTATCCCTGTAGCCCTCTGCATGTTTCACAAGGTGGGAACAGAGGCTCCGGGGAGAGAAGGGACTTGCCCAGGTCCTCCCAGCCGGGTGGTGAATGAGCTAGTATCAAATGCCAGGCCAAGGCACCCCGTCATGCCTGCATCCTCATTGTCAGCCTGACTGTAGCAATACTCCTCTGTGTCCCCAGGCTGTGGGGTGAGCTTGGGCAGCTTCTGGACATTACTGCCACACATGTGTTTGCTTTCCCTGTAGAAGCATGATCCCAGGACAGCCAACCCCACGGCACTCTGCCAGTGTCTCACCATCCTGGGAAACCTCAGCGCTGAGCCCGCCACCCGAAGACACATGGCAGCCTGTGAAGAATTTGGGGATGCCTGCTTGGGTCTCCTGGTAACATTCTGACTTTTCCAAAAGTGCTGTTTTGGTGTGGTTGCTGGCTTCAGAGGCTTTCCCTAAAAGAGCCCTCCAGACCCAAGTAGCATCCACTCCGAGGAGTCAAGGAGAGTGCTATCATGCATTTCAGGAGCTTACTCTGCAGGTTGAAACCAGAACCAGGCCAAGCTCAAGGTCCTGGCAGGGCTGCCAGCTCCCCTAGATCACCACTAGCTCACAGTCTCCCAGCATCACTTAGATGCACGATGTTGACCATTCAGGGTGTGGGCGTACCTCTCAAGCCCTTGTTTAAAGGAGGGCTTGACCACAGATGGCTGCAGCTGCATGTCGGGAAGGTCTACAGTCACCTTGTTTTTGCTTCCCAAGGCCAAGTGTGAGGAGGGTGAATCCAGGTTCCGAGAAGTCACGTACATGCTCCTGGGACTCATGATGAACTTATGTCTTCAGATTCCCTATGTCTCAGAGGTATGCCATTCTGGTCCCTCTCCCTGGAACCAAGGGACAGCCTACATACCTGGTTCACAAACCCCACTCATGCCTGCCACGTGACCTCTGTGTGCACCAAAGAGACAGACGCCAGCTGTGGGAATGGGGAGGGCGTGGTAGGAGGGAGGGAAACTGCCGCTGGGCTCCGCTGAGAGTGACATGAGCCACTCAGCCTTGTGTCCAGGTGGCCCAGACTGACGACGCCCCAGAGGACACTTTCACAAAGCCTGAACAGGGGTGCCCCTGAAGCCAGGGCAGACAGCTGTGGGGAGGAGCCACGGAAGAAGCTACTGAGAGGGAAATCAGGGTGGAACGTGGGACTGGCCAGAAAGAGGGAGCTGTCAGTTCTCTTGGAGAGTTCTGGATTAAACTGGTTGGGAAAGTAACTTCTGCTTCTCCCCCATCCCATGGGTGCAGTCATGGGCCACGGAGGTGAGCACGCAGTGCCTGTCACTCCTGAAGAGCCAGGATGGAGGCATCCTGACGGTGAGTCCTGTGGGAAAGTCCAGGGTCACCTCACATGTTCTTCCTCCAGCATCACTGGGTCCTGACATTTGAGAGGCGGCTGACTCTCCAGGCCACAGTGTGGCCATCTTCCTTGGATTCATGCTCATATGTCTCCTGCAACTTCACACTTTATGATCTCCCCACACACACGTAGTGCCCATCTGCGGACCCCCCTAGAGTCCAGGAACCTGAATTTAGAATCTTCCTGTTGGGTGGTTTGAAATATAAACCACTTACACAGTACAATCCATCTGACTTGTCCTATTTCAGGCTAGCCTGTGTAGGGACGGGTGTATGGCACAGTAGGTAAGATGCCGCAAGGGGTGCCCACCTGTCATATCGCATGCCTGACTTAGGGTCCTTGCTCTGTTGGTGACTCCAGCCTTCTGCTAATGCAGAACCCCAGAAGCAATCATGATGTCTTAAGCAGTTGGGTCCCTGCCACCCATGAGAGGGACTCAGGTGAGTTCATGACTCCCAGCTTCAGCTTGGCTTAGCCCTGGCTGTTCTCAAGTGTGGGGGCGGTGAACCAACAGATGGAGGAGCACTCTCTTATCTCTCTTATTCGCTGAACCACACCACCTCCCACCCTCCACCCCCATTCTCCTATCTCAGTCAAGCAAATGCTTAGAAAAAAAAAAAAAAGATATCCTATACAAATTGGACATGTTAGAGTTTTCCTATTTAGAATCTCTAACCCCGCCTACCTTTTTTTTTTTTTTTAGTCAAAAAGGCTAGTGCAGTGATTTGAAGGCCAGGCTCCTGGGGTTGTTTGTGTGTGATGGTCTCTGCCCCTGCAGAGTTATGTGCTGGGATGGGTTCTTTACTGTGCCTCTGACATTTGAGTAAAGAATCTGAGAGGCCCATGCTTTGTACCCAACACCAGGGAGAGAAACACGACCATGAGTCCAGGAACTTTGAGCTATTGTCCTACCATAGGGCTCTCATTCACCTTAGTAATGACCCCTGGCTTTCTCCCTGCTAGGGCAGGACCCTAAAACTTTGGGAAACAGTCATGGCCTCATGTGGGGCAGGTCTGGTAGAGCAGCCCTTGGAGGATCACAGACTAAGGATGGGTCCTAGGGTTTCCAAAAGATGAGGTAATCCAATACCCTGTGTTGGGAGCTACCCCTTTCAATACACAAACCCCTTCCTATGTACAAACAGGCTGGGGCAGAGGTGCGTAACCTAGGTACCACTAATGTGTGTGGTAATGAATGAGGCGGGCTGCTGGTGCCTTCATGTAGTGAATATGGAGCATGGTCAGTGTGTTAACAGATCTGCCCTGCAGGACCCAGAAGGAGTAGAGGTTTCAAAATGCCAAGGATAGGGCCCGGCGCGGTGGCGCAAGTGGTTAAAGGTCCTCGCCTTGCACGCCCGGGATCCCATATGGGCGCTGGTTCTATCCCGGCAGCCCCGCTTCCCTTCCAGCTCCCTGCCTGTGGCCCAGGAAAGCAGTCGAGGACGGCCCAAGGCTTTGGGACCCTGCACCCGCGTGGGAGACCCGGAAGAGGCTCCTGGCTTCGGATCGGCATAGTATCGGCCCGTTGCGCTCACTTGGGGAGTGAATCATCGGACGGAAGATCTTCCTCTCTGTCTCTCCTCTCTGTATATCCGCCTTTCCAATGGAAAAAAAAAAAAAATGCCAAGGATAGCAGAAGCCAGGAGTGTGAGGTGCGGCAGAGGGCTGGGGCGGTGGACAGGAAGGAGCCACGCCCAGTAGGCAGGCGAGTGTCCCCAGGCATGGAATCCCAGCATCTTTCCCTGAAAGGAGCCAAAAAGTCAGAGAAAAGATGTTTGCCTTCTAGCACATAGGGATGCCATTTTTCAACTTGCTGGTCAGCAAACTAACCATGAAACTGTATTCTTACTGTTTTTTTAATTATTATTATTATTGTTTTTTCCTAAATGGTTAGCACACACATAAAAAAAAAAAAGAAGAAAGACCAAGAGAAGATAAAAAGGAAACAGGAGAAAAAAAAATCCTAGCTCTCACTTGTATCCTAAGAAAGATCCAGAGTATTTGTAGGCATGCAACAGGAACAGCTTGCTGTTAAGCAAGTGAAATCTGCCAGAGAGTAGAAGAAAAGAAGACACAGAATCAGAATGGTGATGAGAAAAAGGAAAGCTGAAGGATGCAGAGGAACAATCAGGGAAGTTCAGTCTCACCCAGGAAGGGGCAGCACCCCAGGAGGGACACCCCCATAGGCAAAGTGTCACTTCTCAGCACTGAGCCGGTTGCTGGTTGCTTCGTGTGCCTCTGTGTGCCGAGGACAAGGACCCCGGCCCCTTGGATTGCCTGTGTCCTCTTATTGAAGAGAACAGCACCTGCTGTTTATCACCTGCCATCCCATGGTTTAAAATCAAAGTACATCCTTTGCTCACAGTCGCAGTGATTACTTTGTTCTCACCAGACTCCTCATGAGCTCCGAAATCGGTCATATATTTTTCTGAGGACATTTAATTACCCTTTTCTTTCTGTCTCACTCAGAGAGCAGCTGGTGTCCTCAGCCGGACCCTCCCTTCCTCTCTGAAAGTCACTGAGGCAGCCCTGAGAGCTGGAGTGGTGAAGAAAATGATCAAATTTCTGAAGGTAAGAGAATGCTGTTCGCTACAGGCTCCTGCATCCCCCAGGAGTCCCTGTTCATGGGAGGCACAGAGTTGAGATGGCCTTGGTATGGTAGCCAGTGTGTTGCTATTTTACCCCCTGCTCAATGGTTTTATTTTTCTTTCTGATTTTTTTTTAAGATTTATTTTTTTATGCTTTTTTTTTCTTCTATTTTGTTTTTAATTTTATGATACAATTCTGTGGGCTCCAGGATTTCACTTACCCTCTCCCCAAATTCCCTCCTCCCACAACTGATTTCCCCCATATTATTACAACAATATAGTCGAAGTTTATTTGAAAGGCAAAGTAACAGAGAAGGGGAGGAAAACACACAGTGATTTACCATCCGCTGGTTCACTCCCCAAATGATTGCAACTCCTGGGCTTCCGTCCAGCCTCCCATACAGGTGGCTGGGAGTGTTAGCAAGGAGCTGCATGGGACATCTGGAACTTAAACTGGTGCTCCAATACAGGATGCCATCAATACAGTTGGCAGCTGCTTAAGCTACTGCAGCATGCTGCCAGCCTCCCAGCTTTGCTCAATTTTCCGCATTGGCCTGGGGGATCGTCTTCTGCCCACCCCAACATTGCCATGACCCCTCACAAAAGATTGCTGAACAAAACAGGAAAAATTCTCATGAGGCACTCCCACAAAAACAGCTTACCCCTCAAGCCCCACTTGAATACAGGAACCTCTGTCCTCAAACAAGATGTCTGCCAGACTCTGCAACTTGTGGTGCTTTATGCTATAGGCTGCAGAGTTGCTACCTGACCAAAGGGATGCCAAAATTCACCAAGTGAATCCACACAGCAGTCAAGTGACAATGGATATTCTTGAGCTGCCATCTCGTGGTCCCACACGTGTAAAACCACTGGACACAGGGAGATCCACTCATTCATGTTAGGCTTTTCACACTACAGACTGTTTGGGAGACGCTGTGCACAGTACATGTGCCCTGGGACACAGGGAGGGCTGGATTACTGCTGGGACAAGGACAGGATGGTGGATTGGAGCTTAAGCTGCAACATTGACCTCCATTTACTCTGTACAATACCTGCAGACGGCCTCAGGCTGCTCTGACACATGCACAGACACCTGCATGCATGCACTCATGTGTCTTAAAGATCCTGGATACAGTGGTTCTAATGGTTGTGATTTGCCAGTTGTCATGTCTTAGTGACCTTAGTGACCAGATGTTCTCCATACAGGTCTATCAGCCTGACAAGTGAGCCCTCATCCTCAATGGCACAGGAGGGCTCATCCTCCCCACTGTGGTGGCTGAGCCAGTCATTGGCATCACCCTCTGACCTGCTGTCTCCCAGGGCTCTGCAGGTGTAGACACACATGCCTGTCAGGGGTGCAGGTGGTGGTGAGCCAGAGGGAGTGACCCTCCATGCCAGCAGGGACAGGGTTTGGTCACAGGGCGGTACACATTGTGCTCAGTGGAATTTTCTGATTCCAGTCAAGGAGTTCAGCAGCACAGTGGTAACTGCCCAGTGTGGTATCTGGCCATGAACAATCCTCACATTGGCAATCTTTATTTTCATTCTGCCATGCAGACAGGAGGCCCGACAGCATCACATTATGCCATCAAGATCCTTGCTATCTGCACGAATACTTGCCACAGTGCTCGGGAGGAGTTAGTGAGGCTGGATAAACGTAAGTGATGCTGGCACAGTAGCCACCCACATCCCACAACTCGATCCAGCTCTGAAGCTGAAAAGGACACCCGCTTTCCAAACATCAGGATCCCTCCATGGGTTGGGAGCTTTTCATTGGCTTTCTGCCTATGCACACAGATAGGGCACCCAGGTCAGAGACCTGCTACCAGCTGCTCACACAGAGTGCCACCTGAGTTGGGCTCTAGAGCATCACCACAGTGGACCTCGCCCAGGGTCTCTTTCCTCTCAGAGGGAGACAACGAAGAACCTTGACCCTTTGGCACACAAGGAAGGGCTTTAGTCCTCATAGTGGAAGTTGGCCTTGGCCGTTTTGGTCAGGGACTGGTGGCAAGTGACTTACCTGCTCACATGTGTCCCACCAGCTCCACAGAGATGACATGAGAGCCACCCCACCAAGGTAGCTGGACCCTTCTTTTTGGTCCTGTCTCTGGCCCTGCAGGTTCAGGAGGTGGACACATGATCCCATTGGGGCTGCTCCCTCCCTTCTAGATGGAAGGTCAAGGGTTAAGGGATTGAGAGAACACACCTGAGGCCTCCCTTTCCTTGGTACTGCACCTGCTGAGCTTGGCACTGTTCTGCGTGCCTGAAGCACTTTTAGACTCTGCCTGTGACAGATGAGAAGGCTGAGGTATTTAGGCACTGAATGGCTGAGTGAGCTGCTAAGCGTTGCTGGGGGAGCAGATATACCTTGACACAGCCCATGTTCCTTGTGGTCCCTGGCCAGCCTCTAGCATGGGATTGGAGGGAGCCAGCAGATGCTCTCTCTCATCTTTGCAGATTTCAACATCTTGCTGCAGCTGCTCAACTCTGAGGATGAAGTCCTGGCGGGCAACGCTGCCCTCTGTCTTGGCAACTGTATGGAGGTGCCCCAAGTGGCAACCTCCCTGCTGCAGACCGACCTCGTACAGGTCCTATTGAAGCTGGCAGGTGGCAATGCAGAGAAGACGGCTGTGCAGCTCAATGCAGGCATCGCGCTGGGGAAGTTGTGTACAGCCGAGCCCAGGTACACCAGGTCACCTCTGAGCAGCCACATGTCCCTAGGTGAGGGGTGAAGCCCAAGCACCATGCTTAGGTGCCAACTGCATGACACACAGCATCCCGGAGAGCCCTTGATCCTGCAGGCAAGCTCCCTATCCCTCCCTGGAGGAACCCTTTCTTAAGAACCTGGGGAACACACTCAGGCTCTAGTGCTCAGCTTTGCACACTGACCACTTATGCTTCTCCCACTGCAGGCTCCTCTCAGAACAGTGGAGCCCTAACTTCACTTTCCTCCCTGAGCCCCAACAAGTGGGGGATGGGGTTCAGCATCCTCTTGCATGGGATTCAGTTGCCGTGTGCATCTGCTTTACTCCAGCACTGATGCATTATCTGTGGCCTGGAAAGGGGGTGATGGTGGGAAGTAGGAGTGTGGGGGCAGTCTTTGAAGATGGAGTGGGACCAGTCCCTTCCCTTACAGCTATACCCCTGGCTTCTCCTCTGCAGAATGAGGGGGCATGGCTGGATAACATCTAAGGTACTTTCGAATTGATTGCTCAAGTAGGGAGTGTACAGATGCGATCTTTGCTCCACAGAAAGCAAGACACATCGGTTAGGATGAGCTCCAAGTGGCACCTGCCAGGGAGCTCCCCAAGGCAGAGTCCCCATCTGCTCAGCTTGACATATCTGCCCCCTGCAGTGAGAGTGTTTTTAGGGTTTCAAGGGGGCCTTCCTCAGAGCATCCCTTTCTGTTTGATCTTTGGAGCTTCTCAGTGCCATGGCCGCTGCCCATTGCCATCCAGTGTGGGCGGGCTGAGGTTGCCAGCCCACCTCTGTTCTGAGAAGGAGGATGGCTCTGCAGCATGTCATTGATGCCACGGATCTTGTGTTCTTGACTATGACAGGTTTGCCACTCAGCTGAGAGAGCTGCACGGGATAGAAATTCTCAGCTCTACGATGAAATACATCAGCAATTCTTGAGGGTCATGGTGTCTGCGTGTACTTTTGTGAATTCACAACTGTTTGCAGGCACATGGCTGTATGCTATGGTTTGTTCCTTTGTTTATAATAAAGATTTTTGCCAGAGTCAAATATTTCTTTTCAGAGCATTTACCTGTTAGGTTTTCATGGGGATAGCAGAATGGGCACCAGGGTGGCCATTGGGGTAGAAACTATGCCTTGGCTTATGCAACATCCATTGCAGCTGCCTCCCAGTTTTCCTACCCATACTGCAGAGGCTGGGAGCCAGCCAAGGAGATACCACACTTCCCAGACTCCCTTGCTGCATCATTCTAGATAGGAACTGGATTCTGCCAGTCAGATGCCACTCCCTGCCTTGACCGTTGTCTTCTGCAGGCAGCACCTGGGAAAACCAGATGTTCTGACAATGGCATAGCAGCATCTAACAGCAGTTGTGGCAGCATCAGTGATAGCAGCAGCCTGAAGCCTGGCCCTAGCAGGTACATAGGCCCTTGAATTCAGTATGTGGAAAGGGTGGTGCTCCCCTGCGAGGGGAACCCTGTGCAGTGCTGGAAGCTTTTATGGAGGTTCCACCCAGCACCCAGCCTTGAAGTGTATCATAAGCATCCCAGATTGCGATCTGCTGCAAATTTCAGGGCAGGGGCTTCTGTTTCGTTATTGAACTTGCGCCCAAATACTCATGCTCATCACCCTACCCTCCTGCATTCTCTCCCCAGCTCTGGAGGCACTGTTGCCTTTCACTTGCCCCAAGGCCACTCGAAACCAGGATCACCTATTAAGTGACCCTGCATTTGAGCTCTTGATCACAGTCTCTTGATCACTTCAGGGTAGGAGAAAAGATCTGCATAGCACAGTGAATGGCAAGAATTCCAGATTGAACTGTCATTGTGGCATAGCAGGCTAAGTCACCACCTGTGTTGCCAGCATCCCACATGGGTGCTGATTCAAGTCCTGGCTGTTCCACTTTCTGTCTGCTCCCTGCTAATGTTCCTGGGGAGGTAAAAGAAGATGACACAAATGCTTGGACCCCTGCACCTATGTGGGGAATCCAGATGAAACTCCAGGCTACTGCTTTGGCTTGGCCTAGCTCTGGCTGTTGTGGGCATTTGAGTAGTGGCCAGCAGATGGAAGATTCTCTCTCTAACTCTGCCTTTTAAGGAAATAATCTTTAAAATAAAAAAAAATTAAAGAATTCCCTAAGATCAAAATTCCATAGACCTGCAGTCTTACCCAGCTACCTTCATCTGTATGACTTGGGGAAAGTCACTTAACCTCTCTGAATTATAACTGCTGCTTCTGGAAGAGATGAGATAAGATCTGCAGTGAAGATGAATTTAGGAGGAGCAGACACTTCGGGAGTTACAAGTTGCTGCATGAATACAAATGTTGACCAGGCTACATGTTGAGATTGAGGAGTGTGATGTCATTTGGGTTACAAGTGAGGGGTCTGGAAATTCATGTCCTCTGCAGAATCGAAGCTTCTGAAACACGTGGGAGATGGTATCCTCCTCCCCAAGGAGTATTCAGCACATGTAAAGGAATGGCACTTGGAAGTGAGGTAGCCACTGGCTTTCATTTTATTCATCAAATCAAGGTAGATAATTGGCACTTCGGGGAATGAAAGAAATCAGGAGGTCTGAGTCCTTCAGATGTGCATGGGGGTGGAGGACAGTAAGGACAGCTCACTAGAGTACTTTGTGACTGCTCCGAGACACTGTGCCTGGAAGGCATGCAACGAGGGGCCTGACCTGCCCACTCCCACCATGTAAACAAATGCCTTGAAGAGGCTATGGAATTGCAAAGGGAGACTGGCTGGATGCTAAGCCCAGCATGGGAAAGAAAATAAAAGGCTGGGGGAAAAGAATCCTGCTGTTTGCAGAGAATAAAGTGGAGCCTTCAAAAAAGAGAAAGTGTGTGTGTGTGTGTGTGTGTGTGTGTGTGTGTGTGTGTGTGTGTGTGTGTGTGAGATCAGTGGTCTTTGGGAGTTCTGGCTTCCCCTCACCCTCTCCCTGACTGAGTTCCCTTCCTGGCTCTTGACACTGGCTATCTAGCTTTCTACCTTCCCATGTTAACTCCATGGCAGTGAGGTCTGAGAGCACCAGTCACAGCTCAAATGGAATTCTGAGTCTTCCTTTCCAGGACCCACATGGCCAGGCTGACTAGGCATGCCAGAGCCAGAGGCTGCACTGCATTTCCACCAGCAGGACCTCCTGTATATCAGAAGATGCTAGAATCACCGTCCAAAACCCCTTTTCCAGGACAGATGTTTCCTGTTACCTGCTATTTGTCTTGAGGTGGGAAGCAGGCAAACCTGTTGATCCCAATGACTGATGCTCCAATTGCACCTTCAGCAGGCCCCAGAGCTGCGTGCCCCTTTCTCCCTAATGCCCTAGAAAGAGGGTAGCAGAGCACCAGAACTCACAGCTGAGCACCTCCTCCATTGCTGCTGCCCAACCGGGGTGCCATGCCAGCCAAATGCTGCTGGGCTTCTGTGAGGAGCAGCCGGCTGGATGATTTCTTTCTAGTTAACAAGATCTCAGATTCAGCCTGTTTCAAAAAAGGCAAAATGACCGATGTGTTCTCCATGGAGGACTCGGTGAGGGCAGGACAACTAAGGAGGGAGTATTTCTGCCAGCCATTCCTGGCCCAGGGGTACCCAGTGCCAGGCTGGGCTACTGTCCCTGGCAGAATCCTGTATGAATGTGGCTCTTGGCCAGCTGTGCCCATTCAGCTCACCCTGCCTGTCGCTCTGTTGTCATTGGCACCTCTACCTTCACATCTGTGCTTTTCATCTGTGGCAGTCCTACTGCTCATTTAGAGGTCTCATGCTCCTCTAGCCTCAGGCACATGCGCACACGCACCCACACACACACACACAGCCATGCAGAATACAATCTTCTGCAGCTAAACCATAAATGTTCATGCAACTACAGGTGATTTAACATGCAAGAAAAATTTATATTAGATAAAAGGCACAGCAAGAAAGTGAGCAAGAAAATGAAGTGTACTTGGACAGATGGTGAGGGGAAAAAAGGGCTCCTAGAATGTTCAAGTATCTATGTCCATTATCTATTGGAATTCCTCCAGTTTCATTCTCCTGATGCAATTTCTCTGCCACCACCCTCCCCAATGTCTATCCCACAATCCTTCATTTTTTTTTATTGTTGTTAACATTGTATTATGTGATACAGTTTTATAGGCACTGGGGATTCCCCCCACCCCTCCCCCCATGGTGGATTCCTCCACCTAATCCTTCATTTTGTGAATAAGGAAACAAAAATACAGAAAAGCTAGGTGAGTGACTCCTCTTCATCATTGTTCGAAGACCCTGCAAATACAGATAAGGACAGGAATGCCAAAGAGACTGGAAGGCAGGACCTGGGGCTGAGGGAGTGCAGACTCAAAGTCCAGCTCCACCTGTCATCACTCCTGACCCCAGGCAGCTGCTTTGCCCCTGCAACTGCCTTATCTTGCCAACGGTGGTGGTATTGGTATATATGACACCTACCTTCTGGATTTGCTGTGAGGACCAAATCAGATGATTTCTGTGAAGCCTTTGGCATGGAGCTTGTTGCACAGTGAACCCACACAGAGGAGGAGTTTGCAAAGACACCCCCTACCTGGCTTTCCCTGTGTACTCTCTCATAAAGCTCTCAACCCAAGGATATTTAATAATGACCTGAAGGGGTCCTACAGGAGGAGGTGGGAGAGAGTGAAATGGGCCTCCAGATTCCTGGGTGCCCAGCTCTAATGGATCTGCAGAAAGTGGAGGACTGGGTTGGGGAAGATAGGTGAGGACCCAGATGGCAGGGAAGGGTCCAGAGAACAGGCATTCCACAGCAGGTAATGCTGCAGAACTCCACACTGCATCATCATTGGTAGGCCCAAGGAGGAAAAGGCAGGGTCCAGGTTTGGTCTGGGTGAATAATTGTAATACCTCCACGCTGATCTCCCCGACTCAGTCATAGTGCAACCACAATAATCCTCTTAAACCCCACTTTCATCATGTTGGACTCCTTCTCAGGCACTATTCCCAACTGTCCACATGATAAAGGGCAAACTGCTTTGCATGTGTGTATGTATGTGCGTGCACCCCCATGCGTGGAGTGAGATCTGAGAGCTTTCTACATTTTTAAACTTTTACCAATTTGGCTGTCACATTATTTTTACCTAGCCTACTGTAACATGTACGGGCATTCTTTTACCACACAATGTAAAAACAGTTTTCATAAGTTCTAGGTGTAATTTAAAATAAACGTATTTATTATGATCCCTCAGGTGATTTTTTTCTTATAAACACTAATGACAAAATTACGCACAGACTTTGCACGTGACCCATTCAGTGTAACTTTACCACATTTTCTTAAAAGAAAACTTACTATTGATGAGGAAGCAAGAGCAAATTTTGATCCACACATTCACTTTCCAAATGTGCGTAAGGTCCAGGAACCAAGAACTCAATCCATGCCTCCCATGGGGGAGCAGGCAAGCAATCTCCAAAGCCATTATCTGCTGCCTCCCAGGGGCCCACGAGCAGCAAACTGGGATTGGTAGCAGCGCTGGAAGTCCATCCCAGGCACTCCTCTTTGGGATGTGATCATCTTATCCATTATGCTGGGTGCCTGACCCTCACTGAGTTTGATTTTAGGGTCAAGTTAAGGTTGATCCTGGATCCTAGATTTGTGTGGTTTGCTTTGGGGCACCAGCTCCCCAGGGTGGCCTGACTGGTATTTCTTGACTATTCCTCACACTCCCTCTGTTCTTGGGCCAACTCCTCAGCCTTCTCTGTACCTCACACACTGATTCCTTACCCCCTGCTCTGCAATTCCCCCAACACACACACACACACACACACACACACACACACACACACACACACACACACACTTAAACAATGTTCTGGTTTCCTTTCCTTAAGCCCAGTATGTCTGTAGTCACCTTCAGTCACATACTAACTGGGTTTCACATTCTGTCTGATGAGTCAGGTGCTACTGCTATATTCCCTTTACAGATCAGGACCTGGAGGTGCAGACGGGCCCAGTCACTGCTCTGAGATCTGCATCTGGCCTGCCCAGGCACTCACCACTTGGCTTCCATGTTCAGCTTCTCCA